TTCTCTCTTTGGTACTGTAAAAGAGATCAAATCATGAGAATGGCTATTCTGGGTGGAGCTGCTTCTGCTTCCGGTGCTATCACTGGTATTCTGGTGCGTACTCATAGATCTCGCAGGAGATCATCTATTTTGACCAAGCTGAATCTACTATTGTTATTAATCTAGACTTACGGTACCTCACACATGAAAGATATCGGTGGTCTGAAGGGTTGGCAATGGACGTTTTTGCTTGAAGGTTCACCGATCATCCCGCTCGGTCTTATTATCTATATTCTTCTTGACAATGTACCCAATGCTGTTCAGTGTAAGAGTGTAAAGGAGAATAGAAAATATGCAAAATTATTTTGAAAATTTAGGGTTAAATAATATGGAGAAGCAGCTATTGACAAATCTTCTTTGAAACGATGCCGGTGTAGCCGACGGTGAGCCAACGTCAAATACTCGACTTGTATGGCTACAAGTTCGTTATGTTTTCATCGATTGGAGAATCTATTTGTATGGCATGATTGCTGTTGGCAATTTTACCGCTATCTTTTATCTGACAACGATTCTTCCGACATTAGTCGAAAGTATGGGTTACCCCAAAACTGTAGAACATTTAATGACAGCACCACCTTATGCTCTCGCATGTATTTGTTGTTTGCTGGTAGGCTATTCATCGTCACGTCGAAGTGAACATGGCTATCATCTCGCTTTTTCTTTATTTGTCGCTTTACTCGGATTCATCCTAATACTCACTCTGTTCGATCAAGGCAAAGTGACCATCTATGTCATCACTACTGTTATTTGTTGTGGTATATTCTCTGCATTTCCTCTACTACTCTCTTGGTTAGCAAATAATGTCGGTGGTCATACAAAAAGAGCAATGGCAATCAGTTTCGTTACGGGTTTTGGTCGAATCGGTGGCATTGTCATTCCTCTGGTGAGACTATTGCTTGTAAAAACCTATAGAATAACCTCTGAAGTCGAATTGTAACATATTAATGCCTTTAAAACAGTATTAATAGTGATAGTTCTGTTCATAGATCTATAGAGAAGTTGATAAGCCGACCTATCGACGCGGTCATTTGACCTGTGGTGGAATAATGGCTGCCAGTTTGATTGTCACCATTACTTTACGCATTTGTTTAATGAGAGAAAATGATCGACGTACAAATCTATCACCAGAGGAGAAAAAACGTGAAGCAGCTATCAAAGAACCCTGTGATTGGGTGAGTTCATATTTTATTTTCTTATTTTACAATGCTGGTCTCTCATTGTCTTTAGCATCCCGACGTACGCTACGTGTTGTGACATCCAAGTCTTTTCTCTCTACCAAAATGAACATGAAAATCAAATATTTTCTCAATTAACTCATTACAAATCGTCTTGTAGTTTGTTGAGCAATAAATAAATATCAAACACTAAACGAATGTAAAAATTTTCTCCCGAGGAAGTGACACATTATATTTGCTTTAAGTTTTGCGCTTATAATAAGAGAAAACACAGTGATTTAACAATTGCTCTGTTCTTTATTTAACCTCTAATCAATAACAGAAAAGAAAAAAAACGTTGACGTCGTATGCAAAAGCAATAACGAAAAATAAGAGTTGCTGACGTTCGATCGTTATATCTGTTCTTGGCATGCGGCGCATACTATTTATATGAGTATGAAGAATGATGAAGGGTTTTGACATTCAGCATTTTTCTTCTATTCGTGATCATCTTGAGAAAGAGAACAATTTTACTTCCTCAATTCAATGACGAATGCTTGCAAATGAGTTTATCGAGTGATGCAGAGTAGAGAGGTCACGCTTTAGTTTCATTTCCCTTCCAAACAGTCTCTATTCTTTTTCTCAATGTTTTCTCATGAGAATCTCTACAAGAAGATTTAATTTCAGATGTGAGTATAAAAAATTGAGCAAATAATGCCGTGAAGCTTCATCTTTCTAAAGTATGTTCTCTCCAAAAAATTTAGGTTATACATTTCAAAAATAGCTAAGGTAATTTTTTTCGTAGAATCAAATTTGCTCTTTTTCGAGATGTTGAGTGAACGTATGATAAGTTAACAAATGATTTCTTGATACCAGATCGAAAATAGCCAAAATTCAACTTATTTTCCACATTTCATTCTCAAGTTCTGAACTTTCGATGTTGTTCGTCTTTCATTTGGCTTTAAAATAAAACAAAATAAGCTTAAAGGCTTGCTAAAAGATAGAGCTCTTTTCTAGTTAGTTTTTCTAATCCAACCAAGTGTCTACGAGTAAAAGAAATAAACGGTTTCTAAAGTAGCACATGTTGGAGTTTCATTAATATTTTTTGTTCACGATCCCATATTGACACTTGAGCTCAGACGTTCTTATAGAGAATTTCATGGTGCATTTTTAGAAAACAACAGTTAAGACTGTGTGAAGGAAAATTGAAAATAAGAAAGTTGTCAATTTTTTGCTTAGTGTCTGAAATGGATATCTATATGACCTGGGTTCGTCATCGTCCTATATATTCAGACATATGTTCTCTACTTATCCTATATTTTGGCAAAAAGTGGGGAATAGGCTGAAATGAGTCGTATATGATCATGAAAAGGTACATGTACTTTCGAGTCTACACATTGCTACTCGTTTTCACACAGGTCATACGAAAAATCAGAGGTATTGATAAACAATTATCAAAAGTTATAGAAGATATTAAAAACGATTGGAATGACGTCATTTTCTTTCATCGACTCAACTCATTCATCAGCTTGTCAGCTGATCTTTTGATCATTCATAACGGACAAGGAAACCTTCGAGGTGTCAAAAGTCTTTTGAGCTGAGAATATATTTATTTTAGATCGGCATGCACCAATACCCAATACTGGTATTGAGTATTGGTGTTAAATATGTATTGGTGGTATTGAAGGGTATTCAGATATTGAAGGGTATTCAGATATTGACAGTGGCATTGACAAGTATTTGCATTGGCGTGGAAGTATTGGTTTTGACTAGTCTTCTCTCTACTTTCTTCCATACATTCTATTATGATGAATAGGTAATGCACTGTCAAATATTGATTGCAAAAATATTGTTATGAATCATACATGAAATGAATAGTGGCTGTTTATTCAAAAATCTTTTTACAGTTTGATCCTACTCTGTAAAAAAAGAGCGTCATACAAAACCTTTTATGGTTTGACCGATGGGTACAGATGTTAAACCCCCAAATAGTTTAGCCGACGGAGGATTTCGTACAAAACTCTCTAAATTCCTGAAAAATTTACACTTTATCCCAGCGCAGACACATAGGTTATCAGGAAAGCATAGCTATTATTCACGAAGGGATAATTTTATGATTTTTTAGCACACGTTTGGATGTCAACTTCCATGGAAAGTGTAGTTTTACTCAACTTTTTTTATGTAAGAAAACTTCGATGTGTATATAACACAGAAATGAATGTGCTGATAAAAAGAAAGATTAGAAAATTATGCTGATTCACTCTACAATATAGATAACCTATCCTACTATCATTTGTTATCACGCATTTATCTTGTTCTTTATACCAATGTACATATCAAAGCTGCCAGTTCGGCCTGGAGAACTTCTAGTCAAGTTTCTTGTGTGCTGATGGATTCTGATTAGAATTAATATTATAGATTCAAAATACTTCGATAAATTTCTTGAAGTTAAAATATTACTTCAAAAACGAATGATCAGAGTTAAAATGGCGCGCTTTAATCCTGAGATGACCACCTCTCACAAGCCCTGATTTCTGCCATTGCATATCAGTCTTGCCGCATTTGTAATTGTAAATGTATTATTTTATCGTATACTGCGATGAATGACAGCAGTGTATATTAATCATATCAACTTATGTCGTCTATTCTAGTTTAGCTTTAACTGCGGAACGTCGAAGTCACATCTTACTTCGAAAGCGTAAGTTCATTTAAAATGCCACGTATATTCTTGATAATACATGCCTCTTATTAACTAATGTATTTTTCTTGCTAACTTTACATGAACTTATGATTGAGCTTAAGTGTGCTACATGTACAATCCGGGTCACTACATCTTCCAAAATGTTAGAAAAAATTCCGAAAATTGACTTTTATTCGAACTTTTCCGAATAGTGATATTTTTCTGGTTTTGAGTTTTTGTAAGTTGTGTTGAAACTTCTACGTTAACTTTTATCGAAAATAAATACATCATCCATGTTTTCATGTAATTATTAGATAGTACAGTGTTTTGAGATTGCTATCAGTACACGCTCGTTTCAATATAAAGCCTTTCCGAACTAGATTTAGCACCATTATTGTTAAAAAGAAGACATTCGAACAAACAATTTTTCCAACATGAACTGAGTTTCAAGTTTAAATAGGTGCTTTTTACGTAATAATTCTTACGTGTAAGACCGAAGTAGATTCAATAGTGAATGATGAATTTGAAGGTTTGACTACGAATATAAGGGAGAGTGACGAAAAGAAAAAGAACTATTTGAATAGCAAATTTTACAGACACAGCAATAATAAAAGTAGAAGCAATACTTGCTATTTACTAAAAATAGTTATTTTGATTATGAATTAACCATAGTTACATGATTTAGATATATTCGATCATGAGCAGATACCAGAGAATATTTAAATTCACCTTTTACTACTGAATATTAACAGATGCATAGTAACTAGCAACTAGTATGTAAAATAGGAACATATTGTTTAAAGGTGTTTCTTCTCGAAAAAAACTCAAAATAATAGTGTACGTTTACGCATGTTGAAACACATTGAATGCTTGAAAAAGTCGTTCAAACTTCAATCTAATTGTTCATTATTTGCCTAAGTACGCATGCAGCCCACACACCCAACTTGTCTATTTTATTGGAATCTATGAGAGTTGCCCACATTTCAAGGTATATCTGATGTCATGAAATTTGATTGTTGTTAGCCATAACTAGCGATATGGAAAAAACATATCGTTGGATATCTCGAATGATTATACTGTTTTATGTTTTCAAGTTAAAAAGTCAAACAAAAAAATGAAAAGCAAAACTACTTGGTTTCCTTGTCAGCAGCTTTATGAGCTGCCCAAGCCTTGTAATACGTGTCAATTTCCTCAACAAATCCTACATGTCTTGGTCGCCAACCTAATTCGTTCATAGCCTTGGCTGGATTGATTATTCTATGTGAACGGCAAAATAAATAATCTTTTATCACTCAATTGAAAAAGAAAACTTACGAATCCGTATCCCATCTTGATGGAACACCAGGAACGGCTTCTTTATACTCAATCTTCTCCTTTCGACCCTGAGCTTTAGCCATGGCTGCTCGTAGCTCTTCATACGTCGGATTATCGTTTGGAGCAGCAAGATTGTAAACTAGAAAAAAAATTCAAGGTTCAAATTTGTTGTATTCTCTCTTGCAAGAATCTTACGTTGTCCACCGACAACACTATGTGGAGCTCGTACTACAGCAACGTAGCCTTCAGCAAGATCATCGAGGTGAACCCAGCTCCAACGCATATCTCTTCGCCCTTGAATAACTAGAGGCTCTGAATAGAATAGATCGGCCACAAAACCACCTTGACCACCGTAAACGAAGCCGGGTCGAATGACTGTTGTCTTGAGCGAGGTACAAGAGCTTGCCAAGACTTGATTTTCGTAGTCTTCTCGTTCTTTCATGTTTGTGACATCAGCTGAGGAAGTGCTGTCACGAGTTTTAACTGGTTGAAGTCGTGGTTTGACTGCTTCATCAACTGGACGACGACCCGTTGGAGATGTATCACCGTCTAGGTAGAACATGATTAGAGCAACTCAATACTATAGTTGAATAAAGACATAATAATACACAAATTATTATAAACTTACAAGTCATAATGCCTGAAGTGAAGATGAAAAGTGGAGCATAGTGTGCTAATTTTCCATCTTGAGTTCGACTCTTTCCGGCACGTAGAGCCGCTTCTAGAAGTTTTGGTGACAATTTTTGATTGAATCCAATAGCATCAATGATAATTGCACATGAGGCAAGAGTATCGTCAACTTGTCGAACATCATCAAATGACGACGCTACAATAGGTTCGATTTCATTTTGAACCAACGTAGCAGTATATTTCGCATTACGAATCATTCCATAGACTCGATAGCCAGCACGACGCATAGCCAAAGCTACGCCAAGGCCAATGTAACCACTGGCACCAAATACGAACACAGACGATGACATGTTTTTCGAAAGTGAATCTAGAATACAAAGCAAAATAGGTTAAACTCTCTTCCTTGATCATCATTTTCTAGTTATTAAGAAAAAAAGCACCTATCCTATTGCAATAGCTTGTGTGTCTAGCTGATCATAACAAAAAAATGCATAATTCGCACAGGGAGACCATTTTACATTTACAAACTCGAAGTAAAAGAATGAGAAATGAGCCTTTGATACTTATTCAATATTCTAAAACATCGGCAAATGTCACATTACCTTATTCGAATATTTTATTGCAAGTACTACTCATGCTCTACGGAAGCTTTTAACGTATAGAAAATCTACTGAAGTATAGTGGCAAACAGAAAAATATACTACTTGTCTAGCTAAATCTATAAAAACAAGCATTTATTTCACTTTTTTGTACCACTAGGTACGTAATCTCATGATATTCATCGGGGAAGAAAAGAAATGACAGACCACATGACAGTGATTTTCTAGTAAAAGAGTAAGTAGATATTTTTCAGCGACACTCTGATTGTGACATAGCTTCTTTCTCACACAACTGTTTGCCACATTGAATGCTTGTTCTATCATAATGCAGAATTTCAGTTGTTTTTATATTTCGCTTTTCTTTTTTTGTATCGTCATGATGACGAAACAGGTAGAATGGCGAAGGAAGAATAAAACAACTATTTTTTTTTCTTTTCTTTCTTATCGCTGAATCAATACAACAGCACATACTAAGCAAATATTTGATGAGGTTGACACCTTGTTTTTTTTTGAATTATGAATAAACAATGTAGATGTATAGCGAGTTCTGTTTTCAAAAAAAAGGAAGTACATCATTGATTGCACAACACCTTTAAAAATATTTTTTAACATTTATTTAACAAATATACATCACAATGCCTGGACGAACTACATAAGGGACTCCCCCTTTCAACCGACTATTTTGCAGAAATTCTAACAGATGCTACAGGCCGTGAATGGATTAAGTTGAAATTAATACAAAACTATTAATTTAAATACTTTGTCGACTTTTTAACAGTTCTATTGTCATTATCAAAAACAGAAATATAATGAGTAACAAAAAATGTGTAAAAAACAAAGAACAAAAAAGAAATCACTCATCTATTTGTTTCTCCAACCGAAAGTCTAACAAACACTTATATCATGGATCGAGCTAGTGTTAGGAGCATTTATAGAACAAATTATTTCGTCGCCCTGGTTAATAACTTTTTGTGTCTTGATATAAAATGTTCCTATCTTTTCAATTTATTTTATCTTTTATTAGCTTGTCTAATGGGGGTGTGGGTGTGGGTGTGGGTGTAGGTGTCTTCTTTCTCACGCTCACATCCACACCCACACCCACACCCTCGAAGAAATTACTTCTGACGATACACCAAATTTTAATCCAGCCATTATACGACGATTATCATCACGAATACCACAAACAAAATACACATACAGTTGAACGAGTAAGTTTAAATTATCTTAATTGATTTAAATTGTTATTTTATTTATTTATCGGATTCCATACGAGCATTAAGAGCCAACAATCCAAATCGTATAAATAATTTAATTCATCTTTTTGACAAATAAATCTTATTTTTTATATCTTTATGTTGAAGTTAACATTGTATGTGCTTGTGTGTTTTTCATGTTCGAAATTTTCTCTTTTTTCTTTTGTACAGAAAATAAATCTTAAATAATTTTGGTTTTTAGATATTTGAATAGATATTATAGAATGGATCTTGTAGGAAATTATAGTTAAGATATAGCTGATGCTCAATTAGCATCATTTATTGAACAAGAAAATCGAAAACAACATTTTCGATCAGTCGTACATATATTAACTGAAAGATGTTGGGATTTATGTTCACCAAATATATCATCAAGACTTGATGATAGAAGTGAAAAATGTTTGGCTGATTGTGTTGAACGTTTTCTTGATTCAAGTAATTATATTATGAATAAAATTAGTCAAGAAGGTGTTGCAGCACGTACAAGAATCAATGCAAATGAATTTAGTTCATTAACAGATTTTTCATTAGGTGCACCTGATATCGGTCTTCAAACACCAGACTTTTTTACTGATTATAATCCATCATCTTCATCAAGTCAACAAGAAAAAAAGAGTAATTGGAAATTTTGGTAGTCTAATTCTTTTTTCGTATGGGTCGTCCATAAAAGGACATACAAGTAAAGGGATGAGGGATCAAATATTTCTCGACTTACTATGAATATTTTCCTTTTTCTTTTTCACACAATTTTCGGCGAAATTTTGAAGAGCATTTTTAAATAGGAAAATCAATTGAATATGAGTATTGGTGTTGAAATAATCAAAGATTATGCTACTTGAGCAGATATATGAGGTTTTAGAGTGCAAATTTTGTTGAATTTCATTTTTTTGTTTTTACTATTTTCTTCTCGGTAAAATCGAATGTATTTAAAAAACAAAAATTTTACAATAGATTCGATTTTGCAACTCCCCATTATAGACCTTAGCAATCGGGGCTAAAGATTTTCCATAGCAAACACAGCTACATACCAATCATTTCGGTACTACTGTCACTTATAGTTATGCACGCAAAAAAAAGAGGTTTGCATAGCGAACAACATTGCTTAAGATTTTAAGATCAAAGAGAGAAGCAAGCAAAGGAAAGCATATAGAATAAGGTACTAATATGTACACTAGTAATAGTGAGGCAATATTTTCTCCGTATTGTAGCTAATACTTCAGCATTTATCTATAAGTGTTTCAATTCGTGAGATATATCCCATGTGATAACTACTGCCGATTTTTTTTTGAAAGTGTTGTATCATGGTTAGTGGCGGAGCCAGGGCGGGGCTGGGAGGGCTCAGCCCCCCTCCCCCAGAAACCTTTGAGCCCCTCCCAGGAAAATTTTTAAACCATGTATTTTATTCCCCAGCCGGGGCTCAAAGGTCCCTCAGACGGGGCTGAGCCCCCCCCAGCTCAAAATCCTGGCTCCGCCACTAATCATGGTGTATTGTACCAAAACGAATGTCGCCTATGCTAGTCACAGAGCCCAAATCGGTCTCAGTGAAGATATGTTTTTTTATCATAGATGGCGCTAGAAAAATTTTTATGAGTAAAATATATTTTGAAACTGTTTTCTTCTCCGTTAATTTAAATTTGGGTAGAAAACACTCTCAGTAATCGTGTATAGCTGAAACCGAAAGTCGTAAGTGCTACCGGTAGTGGTAATGCGAACAAACTTGCGACATAGGATCATTATTGTCATTTATTACTTCATCCATTTTGACTGTTATCGTATATAGTTTTTTCTTTGTCATATCACAACAACAATAGTGTTGTTATTTAATGAAAAATAAAATGACTTTAAAAAAGAAACCATTTTTGATGTTTTGTTAGTAATATTGATAACTATCAATATTAATAAGCAAATAAATCTTTCATTGTGTAAACCTTTGATTGATTCACTTAATTTGTTTCAAAATGTAAAGTATACCTCACTACATTAAAAAAGCATTTATACTAAATTATGTGAGTTCCACATTTCAGTCCCAAACGGGCTGCGCTAACAAGCTTTTTGTTTGTTGTTTTTGAAATGTGTGTTTTCATGTCTATTTTTGATTTATCTAGTGAACTATTATTTAATAAAAGTGAAGCAGTATACTTGAGCAAGCAGGATTCTTCTGAAAGTGTTTTTTTTATACTGGACGTCCAGGAGAGAGGGCAGATGTCGATGAAACTGGACAAATCTGGGTAGCGGGAGGTCAAAAAATGCGATTTTTGCCTGAATATCCTTCATGGATGATCTCTATTCCCATTTTACCTTAGTAATGTTTGGTTTTTAATGAAATTCCTGATTTAATTTTTTTAGATCAGTAAATATTTGAACAAATGGTTGAATCAATAATTGATATTCGTGGAAAAGATTTTTTTTTGTTAGCTCAAGATGCTAATACAACAAAATTTCGATAGAGACAATCGATTTTCTAATGTAAAAGATTGTTATTTTTTTTTCTTCTCTATAAGCTGGTGAACCTTGTGATGTAGTTCAATTTACTGGATATGTTGGTAAAAAATATTCAATTATATAAAATGATCAATGGCATTCAATTATCTCCATATGCATGTGCAAATTTTACACGAAATGAAATGGCAACATCACTTCGTTCACTTAATTCATTTTTAGCTAATCTTATTGTTGGTGGTTATTCAACAAATCAATGTAATCAACAACATGCACAACTTTATTCAATTGATTATTTAGGTGCCATGATATCAGGTAACAAATTATTACAAATTATTGTTAATGAACTTGGTAAACATATAGCTACATATCTACATTGTATATTTGTACGAATTATTGGTGAACAAGGTATGCATGTACTTGATAATATGTATTCGGAAAATATTATTGTAAGCAAACAAAGTGAACTGGAGTTACAAACAATTGCTGATATGATGGACATTCATGCATAGTTTTATTTTCTTTTTATATTATATGAAAAAAGAAATAACCATTAATTGTCAAACTTGTCCTTTCGTTTTTTTAGCCAATTTTTATGATCGTCTATTTATCTTATGTTGCATTTGTATGTTTTTTTCTTTATTGTTGTTGACGCTCTCGCAATTAAACATCTATTCTACCTGCCTGACATGAAATGAAATAGAGGGTGGGTGTATCTATAAGTATGAATAGTTTTTTCAACTGTGCGCCGATATTATAAAATCACAAAGAAGTTTTTCTTTGCAATTGTTCATACAGGTCAATATAGATGCGATAATAAAATCAAATTTGGAAGTAAAATATTGAAATTTCGATATATTGAGTTTATCAAATTTGAATCGAATTTTACAACCATGTATTGGAATGGGTTTTTTTATGGAGGATAATACTCGGATCTGTCTTGTTAAACTGATGACAATAGTTCAAAAACTGATGTCAAAGAAAGAATTTGAAAAAAATATTTTTAAATATTTTTTGTTGATTTTTAGATCATGTCATCAATTGATTCTCAATTATATGAATGGTGGTTATATGAAGAAGCAGCTTTAGAACGTGATAAACATAATGTTGATGTATTTTGTCATCATAGACGTGTACAACTTATGTTACTTGATACATGGAGACATGTTACACAGTTCGATTATTTCTAAGTTTTTTTTCTTCTTCATTTTCATGAAATTTTCTTGAACTTAGAATTCCTATACAAGTCATAAATCAATTAGCTGATCGATCTATTGAATCTTATTGGTCTACAAGACCATGTAATAAAAATGCCATTAAACAAACGGATAAAAATCATCATAGTGAGTTTCTGAAAAAGAAAATTTTATTTGAATATACGTTTTTCTTTTCTAGTCTCTTTTTCACATTGTCTTAATTGGCCTCAAATAAATGATGCAAATATTCGTCAAAAAATGGTAAAATATAATTTTTTTTACTTTTCTTTTATTGATTATCTTTTTATAGATGAGTGACAAAATTCGACCATTATTTAAAGGTTATGGTGATGGACGAAATCCTTTATGTGGTCAAATTAATTTACTTTCGATAAAAACACCAAAAACTTCATCATTTATTGATAATCAACCACAAACATTAAACAAAGTAAATATGAATAAAAAGAAAAAAGCATTTTCATCTTACTAAATTCTTCTCCTCAATTAGAAGCGTCCAGCTCCAGCATGTTTTTCTGATGATACAATTGATACAAGTATTAGTCATCATTATCGACCACCATTTGGTAAACAACAACAACCACAAACTCAACAAGAACCATTATCATTTCGTACAGCACGTGATCAATTGGAAATCGATGAAGCACGTACGAAAACAAATGGTATCATTGTTAAAAAATCCCTTGGTATGCATTCAGTAGCCCAGTAAGTTCAATTAATTATATAGTCGAAAGAACTTTTTGTGGTTTTCCATAGACGTTCAATATACAATCGTTATGTTGATCCGACTGGTGGACGGCAAACACAAGGCGATTCTAATCAACAAATGATACCACCTCCACCAACACCATCGGCACCTGTTTTACAAACAAATCAATCAAATAATACTGAACCTTCAAATAATAAATTAGAAGAGAGTGGTCGTGCTAAACATATTGATCCTAAATTAATTGCAATGATTACCAGAGATGCCAACAGGCCACTTTTTTCCGGCCTGGCCTGGCCTGACCTAGCGTACAGGCCAGGCCAAAAACCAAAGAGTGGCCTGCGGCCTGACCTGGTCTGGCCTGTAGGTCAAACCAGGCCGATTGATGTTTCTGATTTTTGAAATCCATTAAATTCAATAACTCTGTACTAATCAGAGCTGCCGGCAGACCACTTTTTTGAGGCCTGGCCTGGTCTAATTCATATTGCCTGCAAACTTCGAATATGAATTTGCATATCTTATACTGATTTTTATTTAAGTGTAGTGAGGAAGTTGTTGAAAAGCCTAAACAATGCTTTCAATGGTGAGTCAACAGATTTTTGTTTAGCTTATAGGGCTCTTTTTCAACATACTAAGACCTGTTGGAGTCGGCCATTTTGAAGAAAGGATACTTCTATAGTGTGTGAGTGGATGTTAATCTGTCTAGGTCTTTTTGACACCCACACACCGTCCGAGAAAGGCTTCAATTAACAAAATGCCTTCGATTGTAGCAAATCTGTTCTGCATTATTCAAAAAAATATATCCATGATAACTAAACAACATATGACGAAGCGTAGAATGAATAGGTAAAGAAAATACAGAACAAAAATATCGTCAATGAGTGTTACTTATGATGGGAGGCAACGAGATTTTTATTTAAGAATCAAATTTTATGAATACACGATCACAAAATTTATTATCCATTTGTTCTGAATCTAAACAAGCCCTTCTGTGAGTGAATACAGATCCTATAACATTAAATTAATGTTCAGTACAAGTTTTGACCGCTAGAATCGCATGAATTTGTTAAATCAGTTTCGGATAATAAGACCATGCATCAATATTTGATCTTCAACATTTTGGAACTACTTAAGTAAAAGTGAATAAGTATTCTGTGATTTAACGAGAAAAGATATTACGGTTATATATCTGAAAACACGTTAAAAATTGGCTTTTAACGAAATTCCACACATTCTATCTCGACAGAAACAGTTTAGCTTGAATTAACAAATGAGATTTGTTAAAAAGAACGTTTAGCACATATTAATAGTGAAAAATGTTATGCTTTCTTTTCGTTAAATCGTTAAATTTTCTTAAAATTTTTACATGGACAAGCTGATCATTTTGATCTGGTCTAGCGTGCAGGCCAACAACTTCAGCCTGGCGTGGCCTGCAGGCCAGGCCGAATATTATTTGGACGGATCAGGCCAGGCTAAAATTTCAGAATTCGGCCTGGCCTGGTGGACGACCTGAGGGCCTGCCAGGAGCCTGTCAGGCAGCAGGCCAGGCCGGCAGCTCTGGTACATACTATGGTGTGAAATAAAATATATTACATAATGTTAAAAATCCATGATGACAAATTTCTATTTGTCATTTCAAGAATATATGTTATATAAGAAAATATTGATTATAGCGTCTACCATCGAGCAACCTCTTTTCGTATTTTCTCAATGGACGGAATAAATCGATGTGACTATTATACAATGATGATCGCTTTGTCTCTACATATATATGTATATAGGCAGCGTCTAGCAAAATTAATTCTGATTCTGTTACATTTACAATAAGAATCTTCGTTTATTTTATAAATAAATTTAGAACCGGCGATTACAATATAAATGGCTAGTGGTGATAATGCTCAAAGTTGTAATACAGAAACAGATGTGGAAATTAAACGATTACAATTACAATTACTAATAAGCCAAGAAACAACACAACAAAAACGATTAGATGCAACTATTGAAAAACGAAAATTAGACCAAAAAAAACAAGATGCAATTATTGAAGAACGAAAATTAGCTCAAAGACAAATCGAAAAAGATATGATCACAGGAAAAATAAAGATATTGCAGCTGGAGAAACGAAAAAGAGACGGTGATGAATACAACGAAAGAATAAAGATGATGAAAAGATTAGATGAAGAATTTATATCAATATCCAGTAGTGACTTGACTTCAGCAACACATAATAATGGTTATTATGATATATATGTAAAGAAAAATTTATATCGGCTGGAAATTGAAACTTTATTAAATGATAATACAAATGTTAACGATGATATGATAAATATTTTTGAAAAGCATTTTGTTTTCAAATCACTTCGTGATATCACAGAAAAAGATTTTCAATCTACATTCGTTGCATCAATAAATGAATTATTTGCTCAATTTAATGTATATACATCATTGAAATATTTAAGCACAGATCGGATGTATTATTTAAACAAGTATACTCCCGATTGTACTTTTATATACAAAAATATTAATATTAACATGGATGATGAATATCAGGCTTTACAAGATTTTACTGTTTGTATTGGTGAATTAAAGGTAACAAAAAACGGTTCTATTGAAAATCTACAAAATATTGGACAGTTGGCGCGTTATTTGGATACGACATTAAAAATACAAAATCGTGATAAAATCTATGGATTTTTAACAAATCTTCAATATATAACATTTTATTGTGTTGAAAAGACAGAAAATCCATGTTTTAATAAATATTATCAAAGTAATAATTATGAAATGTTTTATATGCCGCGTAAAGCATCATCATCATCTATTGATGGATTACAACCAAATCAAGAATCGAAAAAAATATGTTTAAATAAAGATACAATCAAACTATTACTTAAATTTTTAACAATGAATAAAAGCTTTTATGAATACACAACGTTAAATATAGATCCTAATGATAAATGATTTGATGATAACTTTTATATAAAACAAAGATTAGGAAATGGTATAACTTCAATGGCTTATTTGATAGTTCAAAATGATTTTAATCAATCACCTACTAATTCAAAAAGCTATGTAATAAAAATTTCTAAAAATGATATATATGATGTATATTTTATAAATGAAGTTGATATATTAAAACAATTAAAACAATCAGACAAGTCAAATAATTTTAATATATTTTTTGAAAATGTTTTTAACTCATCACCTACAGGTAATATTTATTTAAAAAATTCTTTTTTAAAAACTTTTTCAATATATTGAAAATCTATTGAAAAACGAATAGAGAAAATTTTGTTTGAGTTTCGAAGAATCTAAGAAAAGAAAAGAAGAGATTTAACGAAAAACTAATATTCTAGAAATCGTAGTTTTTCAGTAGAATTTGTTTGAATGAGACTTAGCAAAAAAAAAAGATTCACTATAATAGATAAAAAATAAGAAGATTGATTTTCTCTTAAGAGAAAAACGCGAGTAAAATAATTTTTTCTCTTTTACATTATAGAAAATGAATTTTGACGAAAATTATCTTGATTTTTGAATTACTTTTTTTAATGAAATTTCTTTTATATTAATTCTTTTTAGAAATTTTTCGAATTAATAATAATTAAAAAGAAAATAAAACTATGTAACTTTTGCATTGTTTCTATGTAAATAAACATAATGGTTGATATCAAAAGACTGTCATTGAAATTTTAATTTAACATAACAAAATACAAAATTGTCTTTTTTTTTTATAATTATATTTATGAAAATTAGACGTTCAGAACTTCATTAGACTATTAAAAAAAAAAAAAACCTCAAATATTTTTGTCATTCTTCAACTAAATGAGCTGATCTTTTTTTGTAAGAGTAGAGAATAAATCTAATTTTTTATTTATGAATAAACATACCGTTTATATCTAGGAATGCACCAGTGCCAGTAACTGGATACCAGTCCGACTGGGTAAAACTTCGAGTTCTAGCAAAAATACCTATGAATTCTCACTGTCATTCGATGTTAGACCCAGTCGGACTGGGTACCCATCAAGTTCGACTGGGCCTTACATCGAATGATACTTACTTTACATAGAACAAGAATCTATAAGTATTTTTGCTAGAACTCGAAGTTTTACCCAGTCCGACTGGGACTGGTTCATCCCTATTTATATCAATAAAATTAGATAATTTATGTTCCTTACATCACTAGTTTAATTTGATTAAAGTCTATTTAATATTCACAAACAGATCTATTATTGTGATTTCATGTTAAAAATTACGTCAGTTACTAAGATGAACTATTGTTTAATTATTCTTTTTTTTTTGAACAATGAAGAATAATTTCTTTCATATTATTATTATATTATACATTAACCATAGTACTTGATAAGTAAATAAAAGAATAATCTTATAGTTTTCAGCTATAGCTAGGAGCTATAAACATTTTTCTATTGTTTATTTATATAATGAATAAAATTTTAATCATTTTATCTATATAAAAATTGAATTTTGCATTATGAATAAAGCGTTTAATTTATCATTTACTCATAGACAATGATATAGTCGTTTTACTGAATAAGAAGAAATATATTAAAATTTTTCTTTCACTAATCAATTTTATTTTGTAGATACTCTATATATATGTGGATATAGAGATAGATAGAGATTAAACTAATACATATATGAAATAAATAAAAAATGATGATTTATAAAAATTATAGTTAAAGAATAGAAGAAAATTCAAAAATAGTTCGGTTTGTATAGTATTATAAATAAAAATTAATAATTCTATAATATAGTTTTGCTAAGAAATTCGAACAATTATGAAAGATTATTGTTGAATTTATTTGATTAAATTAATTATTATAGAATTAAATATGATTTTATTTTTTTCTTATCTATTCAAAATAGAACTAAAATAAATACAATAATATCAAATAAAAGTGTTTTATTTTTATTTTGACTTATATTTTTTTAAAGTATACTTGTCAATGTATCTCCGCTTATTAAATGTAAACAAGTATTTGATATTTTTTTTTGTGTTTGAAATGTTAATGAATTGAATTGAAGACATTTATATAGATCGTTAAATATAATTAATCAATTTTTATTCAAAATGAAGAATATTAATTATAAATGATGATGTTTCTTTCATTTACTATCATGCAGATATATTTAATTCTTGATGATATTTACTAGAATGAAAATGAATTCGTATCAATATTCAATGATTTCTATAATAATATATTAAACTTAAAGCAAATACAATTCATCGAATCTATTTTGATATTGAAGAATAATTTAGAAAATTGAATAAGTTAAGAAGAAAAAACAACAACGAAATTAGTGACTAATCTAAAATTTTTTTAATCTATCCAAAGATTAACTATTTCAAAATAGAACATTTGAAATTCTTGATACAATATGTTGTATATATATATATAAGGAATTGTATATAGAAGAGTCTTGAAATTAGAAAAATAATAAAAATTTAAATTTTCATTAACAAGCTTCAGTAGACTGTCCTGTGCTCATCGTTAAAATTGAAAAGGTTCTTATGATGCCAATTTTCAGTGCGAATAAATGCGAAATTTTCGAAGAATCATTAAGATATTTAAAATGATACAAAAAATATCGTTTCAAAGTACAAGTAAACTAAGTATAAAATACATTTGATCAATACTTCATATTTGTAGTTTTACATGAAAAATTATGAAATGTAGAAGTAGAAATTAGAGATGTCCATCGCGGCGCTGCCGCTGCCGCCGTGGCAGTGGCGGCGCGGCAGCGGCAGATTTTTTCCAAAAACTATCGCGGCGCGGGAGAGATTTTTATTTTACCGTCGCGGCGGCGGGCAGCTTTTTAGGAAAAAAATTCATGAATTTGCACAGAATCTGCATGTTTGTGTATGCTATACTGTAAGACTTAGCGAATCTGATCGATTAGCGGCATCAGTTCTATTTCAAACCAGTCAAAGCCTTGAAAATCAAAACATTTTTTCGAATACGAGCGCGGCAGCGGCGCGGTAGCGGCAAGTTTTTTTTTAAGGCGCGTCGCGGTAGCTTTTTTTAACAGGCCATCGCGTTGCGGGAGCGGCGCGGCAGCTTTGTTTGATTTTGGCCGCGGCGCGGCAGCGGCAGATTTTGAGCCGCGATGGACATCTCTGGTAGAAATAGATTCATCCAAGTTTCGATTCGAACAAATGACATTTTAACATTCTCAACATGTTTGATAATTCAGAATGGGCTTCAATGGTATTTTTAGTATGAATAAAATCGAGATAAATTGATTTTTTTTCTCATGAAACTTTCTATGGTGATTGAGAATGAACAGAAATTCAATGATGTACGAGATTTTTTACAATTATATTTAATATTAAAATAGTTTATTTGTTTTCTTGTTTTCTTTTCCTTTATAGACAGTGTTAAAATTATAAAAAATAAAATTTTTGTATTAGATTAAAGAAAAAGAATTTAAAAATCTCAATAGAAAAATTCTTAAATTTAGAATATGAATAGTTTTCCATCATCAAATAAACAAAAAGAAGTGATTTAAACTAATTTCTTATTTATAAAATCAATTCTATTTGAATTTTGCATCTGATTGAATAGAAATTTGCAATTAAAAAAAATTCATAATGAATATCTTTATTTTATGATCATTGAAATAATATTTTATTTTATTCATATGTTTATTTTCTTTTTCAGGTAAATTTATAATATTTGAAAATTTTTTACAACCTTTGAAATCATTATCATTAAATCAATCAAAACAACTTATTAATATTATTCACGACTTATATAATTGCAATATCATTCATCGTGATATACGTCCACAAAACTTGATGTTAGAAAAAAAGAGTGAATATTTAAAATTAATTGATTTTGGTTTCGCTGTAATTTTTGAAAATGATCAAAAAACGAAAGTACTACCTATTCAAGGTGGAATTTCATATGGAGGTCTAAAATTTCTGAAATTTTGTTCAAAATTTGTATTCAATTCAGCAATCGGTTCTTGTTATGAATATGAACAAACTTTTGATCTACCATGTGCAATAAATTTTATAATGTTTATGACAAATAATGATGTTAAAGAGAAACTTACATCATTCAAAAAGTTATCTCTTCAAGATAGGATAAAGTTATCATATAGATATTGGCGTGATCAAAAAGTGAAAAACAAGAATTATGCTGATTTATTAAATTTAATTGATAATTCACAAGGATCACCAAATTTTGACTTGATCATAGTTGAAGTAGAAAAATATTTTAATTCATTACATTCAATACAATCTTCATGATGTGTTTTTTTTTATGCTCATAATATTCATTGAGCTTCAAGTCAATATGATAGTCATTATTTTTTCTTTTTTTTCATTATGCTATTTTCTTAATTTGTTGTGCTTAATGGTCATATAAATATAATAGATATTATTCATAGTAAAAAACAAAAAAATGACTTACTTCTTTAATTATTACATTTATTATTTCATCTAATTTTCAATGAAGAAATCGTGATGATTAATTTATCTATTGATAAGATATATTATTTTCGAAACATTGACAAACTCAGTATTAATGTGTTGAGATAAAAGAAAGTTTTCAGATTGAAGAAATACCATTGATGAAATGAATCTGTTTTGAAAGTTAGGAGTAGATCTAACTATGATATTTCTTTAGTCGATATTTTCATATAGAGTAATTTGCACAAAAAAAAAACTTGGAACAAATCTTTAGTCTGTATTAAGAGCTAATTGAATTACTTTCAAAAATATATCAGTTCATAGTCTTAGAAGATCTAATTCAATATTTGATTCTATAATCAAGAGATACCTGTTTTCTATGCTGTTAATCAAATTAATTATAAATTTTTCAGTATAATTTAAGATTTTAAACACATTTCCTTTTCAAGAAATAATTTTGTTGACTTCTTTTTTTTTCTTTAAATTAAATAAACTTCACTTGAATGAATACTTCAGCTATACTTATTCAACTATTTTCTGTCTTTTGTTTTTGAAAAGTTCACAAATAATTTTTATTTTTTTTGAGGCGCATTTCTAAACTTATAATTTTCTTACTAAGTGAGTTAGCTTAGTTAATCTAATCTAAAGTCATTTTTTCTTTTTTTCGAGAATATTTTATTGCATATTTTCACTCTAGAAACAAAATTTATAACTATTTGTTTCACGATAGAAAAATTGAATATTTAAATCAAGTCAGAATTTTCTGGTCACCTTCTATAATCTGTTAAAACGACATTCTGTATTGTTTTGAATCGAGTCCAAATATCTGTGAGAGATATTCTCTGAATAGATGACTAATCAACTAAAACTAGAGAGTTTTTTTGCTTAAAATAACTTTTTATCATATCATGTACAGCGCTTTTTTTTGCATATGAAGAAGCTTATTAAAGTTCTCTTAATTTCTTTTCATTGATTCGTTCCTGGATTAGACCCCGTCGGGTAGAACCCGCACCCGGACCCGGACCCGTGCGGGTCCGGGTAGGGTCCGGGTCCGGGTCCAAAAATTTTACTTTGGCCGGGTCCGGGTCCAAAAATTTTATTTTGACCGGGTCCGGGTCTGAAAATTTTGCTTTAACCGGGTCCAGGTCTGAAGAAAACTTTGATCCATACAATTTATTTTGAATTTTTTTAAAGTTTTGTTCGTTTTATACAAAGAAGAGATCAAATGTATTTAGAAAATAGATAAAAAACAACAAAACCCTTCTTGACTATACTATCTAAACTGACTTGTCATTGTGTTTGGATCCAAAAAATTTAAGCGACCAGGTCCGGGTCCGGGTCCAGCAACCTGTAAACGGGTCCGGATCCGGGTAGAAAAATTTTAAATGATCGGGTCCGGGTCCGGGTCCAAAATCCTGGGCCAGGGTCCGGGTCCGGGTCCAAAAATTCTGGACCTGACGGGGTCTACTGGATTAAACGATGGCATAGAAAGTATAATCAGTTTATGGTGCTGAAATTTATAGTTAGTCACGTTGACTTTTTTACAAATTAATCTATTTATTTTTTGCCATATGAACATAGGTTACTCAAAATTGATAACTGTAAAGAAATGTATTGTATGAAAAATGAACAAAGAGTTATCAAACATAGATATGGTAGCAATTTTTCTAAGTTCTCATTCTTGTCAGAATATATTAAAGATGTTGAACGATTATATTTTTTTTTACCAGAAAAAGAGAAACAACAAATAATTTTGAGATAGTTTTATTTAAAAAAACAAAACTTACATGTAAAGAAATGATATGCGTTTCGAGATCAATTCAAATCTCACCACAAGTGACATATAATTCATGAGCTGTCTTGACATAATAGAAAAGGAGAATCAGGTATCATAAGACACTTCTGCGCTTTAATCAGTGAAAAATAGATATTCAATTCACACATTTCAAGATCAATTTAACAACAGATTTGATAATTTCTACTAAACCATATTTGTCTCATATATATTTTAGGTATTTATCAAGTAATTAAGTATTTAATTTGTTAAAATTCTTTCAAAAAAAAAACAAACAGATGGAATCATCCATCAACATTCGCCTAGAGATCGAGGACAAACATCTTCTTTCAACTTATTTTATATATGATAAAATGAATTTATTCAACTGAGGTTATTAATGAAGCGAAAAAAAATATGTCTTGATGATTGAAAAGTATGAATGTTTTTTTGTCCATAGTCATGACATACTATCGACTTTTCGATAATAATAATTAGATTATATTTTCTTTTAAAAAGAAGATTAAAATCAGTTTTTGAACTTTCTTTCTATTTAATTAAGCCTAATTCAGATTCATTATTCTCATATTTTATGAAGCAAAATAAAGAGTTCATTCAAAATTCTTTTTCTTTCAGTAAAAATTTGCTTTTTTTCTCAAGTAAGAAAATTTTCGTTTTAAATGAACATATTTCTTTATGAATAAGCTGCTGGCTTATATTATTTTCATCATTATTGGAATTACATAAAATTTTTATTCATCAAAGAGCTACTATATATGAAATTATATTTTGTTAAAGACTTACTATTGAAAAAGCAAAATATGTCATGCCTCAAAATTTCATGCATAAGTAATAGTTGCATATATTGGATGTTGAAATCAAAAAGAATAGAAAATAGCGCGTCATTTTATAATTCAAATAAACTCGCATGGTTCTTTTTTTGTTTGCTTTAATCTAACTCTACAGTGATCACTATAATCAAAAGTCATAGGAAACTAAAGTATACCAGAGATGTCCATGGCGGCGCTGCCGCTGCCGCGGTGGCAGTGGCGGTGGCGGCGCGGCAGCGTCAGGTTTCTTAAAAACTCATCGCGGTAGCGGCAGCATTTTTTTTCGAGGACATTGAACAACTGCATGAATTTGAGAGAATTTCATTGTTTACAAATGAAACACCCTGAGACTGAATGAATCTGATAGATTAGTATCAATATTTCTGGTCCAATACAGTTGCAGCAGCGAAATTCGAAACACTTTTTTGAAAACCATCGCGGCAGCGGCGCGGCGACTTTTTTTATAAACCATCGCGGCGCGGTAACTTTTTTTTTCTAATGCCGCGGCGCGGCAGCGGCAGATTTTCAGCCGCGATGGACATCTCTGAAGTATACACAATGAAAAAAAAATCGACTAAATATTTCTTTTTCTCGTTTCTTTATATATACGTACTATTCGATAGAGCATGAAAAGTTAGTCAAAAATATTTTATTTTCAAATCGATGTGTCCATATTTTAGGCAAAAAACAAAAGATTAGAAATGTATGAAAAATGAGTTATCGTTAGAAGTTCTTGAATTCTTTGTTACCTAGATTTCAGTAACTTTTTAAAAATGACTATCATTTCACTTCGGATTATTATCCAACATGATTTTTTTCAACTAAGACTAATCTCAAAAAATTTTTTTTGTAGTACATATAGACTATATTGTAAACTTTTCTATTTAGTTTTTGTATTGAAAGATAGGATTAAGTGTCATATGTCATTAGAATCGTTAGATATTGAATTTCAAAATGTACATTAGTAATTCTTAAGAGAGAGTCCATGAAGGCAGCGAGTATTCGAAGTACTCGATAAAAATTTTTTTATTGGGATTTTTTTTGCTCATTCAACACATCAATGTCTAAAACCATCAACTCCAAAATTTTAGATTTTAATACCTTTCCTTTGAAAAGTTAGTCAATACCAAATTTTTCCACTATCATGCCTATTTACACAAAAACAAGAAAAAGTATTCTATAAAAGATGTACCATCTTGCATTTCAAGAGATCATTGAAATTTTTTATGATATATATCAGAAGATAAAAACTTAAAAACTGAAAAAAATATAAGATGTATTGATATAACACAATATCTAGCGACTTCTGTTTTATATAGCGAACAATGGTGAAAGAGTCCCTTTTAAGATGAAGATGATTATTGAATAAGTTTTAGAAGGATTATAGCTTCAGGATGTAATGTACTTAAATCTTGTTATTATTATATGAACACATTTCACAAGTATTATTTCATCGTTTTAATGTTCGTTTAAAATATTTGAAAGTGTGGGATGATCTATCACATACGTTATGTAATGTTTCATAGATGTTTTGTGACTGTTACCATCGAGAAAAAAAAAACTAAACAAATTTTAAATGCTTTAAACTTTTGTTCACTATTATATTCTTGTTATCTAGTTAGATGAAAAGAAGATATTAATTTTATTAAAGGAAGCATTCAGAAGAGAATTGATATTGTTAAAATAACTTAATAATTGTTCTAAACATTTAAAAAAATGAAAAGTATTTTGATCTTTAAAATTAGTACATGTTCAGTAAACTACAATTGATACTGTAAAAATTATAGTTCTCATGTCTTCTTTTTTTGAGTTGTAATAGTCTACTATCTTTCGAAAAGAGATAAATTCAATAATGGCATTAATAAATATTAGATTAGTCTAGAAGAATTTATTGTGATCATGTAATGTATCATTGTTTTTTTTTTAACTGAGTTTACAAGAAAAAGCTTCATTTAAAAATACACATATACTTTTGAAGATATTTTCATGATCTTGGTATTTTTATTCGAACGGAATGAGATTTAAATAAAGTCAAAAAACAAATAAGTGGATAAACTAATAAGTATTCAAAGATTTGTATAAAAGTTTTTAGTCTTATCAGACATATTATGGGTAAGAACGAATGCAGAGATTTTTCACTCTCTACAATAGTTTCATTTCGATGTAGGAAAGAATAAGAGAATCTAGAATCTATGAAAACTTTTGCTCTACTCATCGAGATCTATGTACTCAAG